TCTATCTTATAAAAATCTATTGAATCTTTTCTTTCCTGTCTACTATAGTTACTTTAATTGTGCAATTACTATATCTTGCCCAGGGTGTTGCAACAGCATCCTGATGATCCCCATTGCTATTCTCATCCTTCTTTGTACGTCTTTCAAAGGCCATCTGAGAAATCTTCTATAAACAAAAATAAACACAGCTTCTCTTCTCAGTAGTCTGCTACAGGACATTATGTTAAGTGAACTAAGCCAGGAACAGAAAGACAAATGCTACATAATCTCACTTACATGTGGTTACCAGGGACTGGGGAACTGAGGAGGGGGGAATTAGGGAGACTTTGGTCAAAAGACACACAATTTCAGTTAGATAGAGGGAATAAGTTCAAGAGATATATTGTACAACATGATGACTATAGTTAATAACAATGTATTGTATTCTTGAAATTGCTGAGAGAGTAGATTTTAAATGTTTCACCACAAAAAGTATATGAATAAGTATATGAAATAGTGCATATGTTAATTAATTTGATTTAGCCATGCCACAGCGTATACATATTTCAAAACAACATGTTGTGCATGATAAATACATACAACTTTGATTTGTCAGTTAGGAAGAAAAAAAAATCTTTTATTACTCCTTTAATATAAAACCAACTCCTAGTCTTAAACCAGCCCCTTAATATCTAGTAAAACTTTGGAAGAAAAATCTAGGATGTTTAAACTCTGACTTGGAAGGGAACTGGAGAGGTCAGGACAGATAGGAGGCAGTTAACTTGGATCTTTAAAAGAAAGAGAGAGATAGGGTCACTATCACAGTTAGTAGGGCTATGAAGGAGGCATTTTGCCTTGTACCTACACATCATGGAATACTCTCTGACATGGGTTGACATAGGTTTCCGATATAGGTTGAGGAGAAGATAAGAAGTGGAATAACCCTGAGGTAACAATTATTGGGGGTGTGAAGACTGCTCCCAGTGGTTCAATACCAGCACATGAGGGTGTTTGCTGCATAGACAATAAAGTGGCAACAGACTTAATCAAGGTCAAATGCAAGGATGAGAAATAATGTTATCACCACAGCCTGTTTGATTTTGGGGATCAGTATCAATGGGTGGCAGGGGGCAGGTGAGATCATGGCATATAGATTTTTGTAGATAGCACCAGCTGTAGTCACTGGGGTAAATTAGGAGTGGCTGAGACAACCGTGCAGTAACTTAGGACCTCTGAGGCACAGAGAACGTGTGTAGCACTTGTGCATGTGTATCTGTGTGTGTTTGCACCTGATTGTGAGACATCTCTCCCACAAAAGCCTAGAATTAATATCTTACTCCCTTATTGTAATCAAGCCGAAAGGATATGGAGAAATTTCTGTTACACATCCTTTCAAAGTCTTATGTGATGTGGTTCTTGTATGCATTCCAAAGTTCAGTTTCTGACGCCTTCAACTTCTAAACATTTACCTCAGGCATACTGAACTACTTGCAGTCTAGTGAACACTCTTGCATGACTCAGCTTTTGCAGTACTTTTCTTTCTATCGGGATGCCCTGTTCCTGCTTGTTTACATGTGACCTCCTCCTCTGTGGAGACACTTCTTCACCAGCCTGCATCAGATACCCACTCCCCTGTACCCCCTTAACCTCATGCTCCAAGTAAGCACTGTGACTACTTTCAGGGGAGAATTTAGCACATTGCCCTGCAACAATCTGTGAACATATCCACCTCCCCTATTTGAGTGTGAACTCCTTCAGATCAATGGCTATAGTTTATTCAGAGGTGAAGAATAGCATCTTATTCATATCAGAATCCTAGAGTCTTATATGTAGCCTAGTGCATGGTGAACAGTACATGTATATAGAAAGAAGGAATAGCACTGTGAGGAAGATGTTATGTAGGTGCATGTGATAGAGTGAAGATTCTAACTCATACCTATTTGATTCTAATCTGTGTCCTCATTAACTCTTTCCATGCTGCCTACTACTAAGGAGCTGGCTCAAAGGCAGAGCCCAACCAAAGCACAGATCCCAGCAAGAGACCAACATGGCCTTAGCAGCACTACAGTGGAAGCAGGGAAGGGGAAAGCCAGCAACTCAGACCATCCACAGACACTATTTGAATGAACAAAAACACATAAAAAAAGAACCATAACAGAAACATCAGCACAACCAGTGCCTTTTTCTGTGTTGGTGAAAAGCACTTCATAAACCCACTGAAAATAACTCATATTTCCTAGAAGAAAATCCAAGAACAGCTACTTTTTCCCTTGCTAGAGATGAAATCTTCAAGACAGTGAATTCTTAGGGTATTCAGCTTGACACTTCTTGTGTTTCATGGTTTGGCTATGCATTTAGGACTTAGATTTTTGCTGGAATAAAATTTCTATGAGGCCATAAACTTTTGCCTGTTTTTTTTTTTGTCTGCAGTAGGCCCAGCACAATGGGGAATTAAGATTTTTGAATCTTATTTATGTAAAATAGAAGGGAAAAATATTGAAATCCGAATTGTGGGCTGGCAACTGATTGTGACTTTGTTTTAAATCCATAACTATGTTTTACTAGGAGGGTTTACAACTTCACAAATTACATAACAACTAGTGCTTCAGATCTCCATGAATGCTTACAATATTTTTCATGTCAGTGGCATTTTAGGATCTTGGCACAATAGATATTTCAGACAAACATTTTTTTTTAACAAGTAGGAAAACAACCACCCACTCATCTGTGTAAATACAAGATGTACCAGGCTTGGCTATGTATCTCATTGGTCCAGGCCAGCAAGGATTCATCAGAGGTGAGATCTCTACAGGGCAAGTACGCTGACTTGAAAAATCCTGATACAGAGTATGTGACAATCGTATGATTTTGAATTGACACAGGTCTTGGGTGATCCATGTTAACAACCAGTGTTTCTCTACTTTATTCATTAACTGGATTTCCTGCTTTATTTCTATTTCAGAATTCAGTGCTCCATTCAGCATCAAGTAATAGTAACTAATACAACTAATGCCTACGGAGTGCATACCAGATATTGTTTTACACTCTTTGTAAATATTATCTCATTTAATTCACACAACTTTAATGTGGTAGGTACTATAAGTATCCCTGATAGAGGCCCATTAAGACCAATTAATTTGCCCAAGGTTAAAGGCTTTTAAATGAAAGAACTGGGATTTGAACTCATGTAGTCTGAAGTCAGAATCCATGTTCATAATTATCATGCTTTATTACCTCATTACATTATATTGCCAATAAATTGTGAGTTTGTGTCCATGTCAATGTAAAAAATTTGAGATCTTTTGGGAGAAATCCAGAATGTTAGAGCTGGAGGAGACTTAGGCCTTATCTAAGGCTGCATCTTCTCAGTATCAATTCTTGAAGCCTTCTCCTTTTCTAGTTTCTAAATGTTGGAACATCCCAATGTCCTCTTCTCTTCTATGTCTATACTCTCTTTCTGGATACATTCAGCAGTCTGGTGCCTTCTAGAGATTCTGTGTGTCAATGACTCCCAATTTATGTGTGGCAGACTGGTATATTTAGCCACTAGAGCTTTCTACTTGGATGCCTAATAGGTATCTTCAATATGACATGGCCAAAGTCAAATAATTGGTTCCCCACCCATCTCACACCTTTCTCAGTATTCTCCATCCTAGTAAATTATAGCATCATTCACGAAATAACCCAGGCTGCAAGTCTTGGAGTCTTGCTTGACTTCTTTTTATCTCATAACCCATATTTAATTCATCAGCATATTCTGCTAAATAGGACTACTTTTCACCATCTCCACTAATACGACCCAAGTCTAAGCCACCAGCCTCTCTGGCCTGGGTACTTTAACAGCTTCTAAGTTAATCCAGTTGCTTCTGCTCTTGTCCTTCTATTATCTATTTTCTGTATGTAGCCAGAGTGATCCTGATAAATTACTGGTCAGATCATATTACTCCTCTGCTGGACATCTTCAGGTGGCTTTCCCCATTTCTCAAGGGAAAAACCCAGCCCTTACTATTGTCTACAAGGCTCTACATACATCGTCTGTGCCCCATTCTTTTTCCTGAATTCATTGCCTGCCCTTTTTTTCTCTCCACTCCAACCAGTCTGGACCATTTGCTCTTCTTCAAACACACCAAACTTGTTTCCATTCCAAAGCTTATTTGTCCAGCCTAGAATGACCTTCAGGTGGATAATTTTGTGATTTGTACTCTCAGATCACGGTGGTATTTGCTCAAATGGCATCTTCTCTAAAAGACTTTCTATCATCACCATTGCTAAATACCCATCTCTATCACGCCCTGTCCTCTTATCCACATTCATTTCTCTTCCTAGCACTTATCAATACCTAACATTCTATCATGTGATTTCTTTGCTTTCAATCTGTTTCCCATGATAGACTGTAAGTTTCATGAGGGCAGGGATTACTTTTTTTTCCTCCTATTTACCACTTTAATCTTCAGTACTTGAACCCTCTTGTCACAGACAGGGTGCTTGCTAATTATCTGCTGAATGACTAAATGCATTTTCTAATGAAGTTCCTTCATTAGAGAGTCTCATCATCACTTACCTGGCAGAGGCAGAGCTGGTATATTAATCACTGTACTATATCTCAGCATTAAAATCTCTTTAAATACTTAGTTTTTTCTTTTTAATAATTGTTGCAACTTGTCAAATAATACTTGCCAACCCTGTAAGGGAAGCCGAAAGAATATAATGTTTTGCCTATGGATGACTTTGCAGTTAGTGAATCTAGTGGCACATTATTAACAGTAGCAATAATAATAATTAACATGGCAATTGAGTCTGTTTAGGTTTAAATTGCTCATTAATAATTATGTTGTGCTTAGAGGCTTTTCTTCAGCTAAATATTTAGATTCTCCTTTCTGTAGGGAAGAAAACTGCATTTAGGATTCACCAGGAGTGATGAACACATACAGAGTACCAAACTTCTCAGTGCTCTATAGCTGCAGTATTTACCATATTCAATAATTTTTACATTCCCATGAGTTTACATGCTCTATCCTTACCTTCCAGAATACTGAGCTCCACCTGTTAGGTGATCTCTGGATCTGGAAATCATCCTCATACTCCCAGATTGAGGCAGTACAGTCTTCATAAAACTGGTGCAGGTAGGATCGGACTCCATAGCGCTGGTACCCACCCTCAGTGGCAGCCTGTGCCTGCTTGGACCCACAGATGTTGCTGCAAGAACTCATGCTTCCCAGCTGAAATAACAACATCCACATGGATCAGCCCCATGAGCTTTGGCCTCAGGATCAGAAGACATGAAAGGCAAGAACTAGGCTAATTAGTGTCAATGTATTTGAACAATGTTGTTTTCTTAAGAGAATAGACACTTTTAAAGACATGTCTTTCTTATAAGCTGCACTTCTTTTCTGTTTAATGAAAAATTACCCAGAATCTTCTTTTTTCAAATTTTAAATATGTGGGGTACCCGGAGGAACTCAAATCACTCCATGAAAAAGATACCTGTACATACATGTTTATTGCAGCATTGTTCACGGTACCTTGAATTTTCAATAACTAGAACTGGTTCTCCATACATGAAATGAAACACAACAGCACACCTCACTTAACTATGCAGAAATTTAAGCATGAAGCATATGAGAAATGGCAACAAAGAAGTTGAGATTTTCATTACTTTGACAAGAAATTTTTAATCTCTTAGAATCCAGTAGTCTTTATACTTACATGTTAAAGAATTAGGCTAGTACTCACATTTGCTAGAGATGGAATTTGTCTTGGACTGTCCTCTCAGATTTCTACATGGTGTTACTCTTAGCAGTTTGAAATTTTGCCTTCAGATATCATGCATGTTCCTCTACCATTTTAACTAATTGTCAAGTTGTATGAAAGTTTTATTAAAAAGTTGTTGAGCAACTTACACCTCATGCTTTATTAATCACAAATGACTTGGCCAATAATTTACACCCCACTAACTCTAACATCATATATTTCAGTCATTATTTGTGGATACATCTGTCCACGTGGGTGACTAGAATTTAATGCAGAGAGTAGAACTAACCTTTTATTGTTTTCCATGAAGTGTCCAGTATAAAGTAGAATTCAGAGAATTGTTGCCTTTCAGTAAGGGAATTCTTAATTACTTTGTTTGTTTCTTGGTTTTCTAATCTCCATATAAGCAAATAAGTATGTGACAGTAAATGTAAAATACTTGTTTGGATTTTTCAATTACCCTCTAGATCAGGCATGTCCAACCTGTGGCCCACAGGCCTCATGCAGACTAGGACAGCTAATAATGTAGTCCCACAAAATCTTTTAATATCATGTTAAAATAAACATTTCTGGCAAGCACCTCTGAACAGCATAGAGGTAATTAGGAATTCCCTAACTGAAAAGTATAGCAGCCTACCTAGGACATTGTTTCACTTAACAATTCTCTGAATTCTTCTTTATACTAGATACTTCAAGGAAAATAATAAAAGGTTAGGTCTACAATCTGCATTACATTCTAACCACCCACGTGGATAGATGTATCCACAAATAAATCTTATTATATATTAATACATATGCTAATTATATGATTTGTGTGTAGTCCAAGACAATTCCTCTTTATTTGAAGCCAAAAGGTTGGAAACCCTTACTCTAGATGGTTTTCCTTGTGTGAACTTATTCTATATGTGACAAAGAGAGGAACAGCACAGAGGGCTATTTTTCCATTTGACCAGGTTTTCTCAGGACTTGTGCTACCATTCAGGCCAACAGAGGCATATTCAGCATTTCCAATTACTTATGAAGGAATCAGCCAGTAATGTATGTCTACAAAAGAAAAACACTAACCTGCAGATTAATGCACGAGATCTGAAGTCACTTAGTTTGGTTAGATAGAATCATGGGGCTAAAATCAAACATCAAACCTGGGATAGTCAGCAATACCCTGTACCACGGGCACAAAGTGAACTCATAAGCACATCCTGTAAAAGTGAGCCCATAGCCACAAATTAGTTTTTGTTAGAAAATGTAGTCAAATTGAGGAAAATATGGCTCTTATCATAGAAAAATAATGCAGGCAGGTGCTATTGATGGTGACCAATAGCCTCATCTGTTGAACTGTTGGTCAGTATTACATTTAGTGACAGTTCCTTTTTCCTGCTTCAGGTATAGTAATCATCTAAGGAAATCAGAGAGAGAAGGGAAGCAAGCGTATGATTTCTGTTTACACTTTTAAACACTCAGAAGGATATTATTTTATAAAACATCAGGATGTTAGAGTGTTCTTTGCCTGACTATAGCAGCAAAGTCTGATAGATCAAAAGAATATTAACCCAGTTTTCATGTTTTAAGTACTTGGATGTTCTCTTCAGTACCTTCTATTTAATTTTTGCACGGTAGAGAGGCTTAGTAATAACTTATTACCAATGGTATGTAAATAGAATACTTATAAAGGTACTTTCTTTTAAGAAATACTAATAAAAATTTCACTCAAAAGGAGAAAGGATTGGTATTATTAACTCTGCTTTGTCATCAAGGAAACTGAGGCATAGAAAAATCATCAACTAAAGGTTGCACCATGAGTCAGGGAGCAGAAGAACTATGACAATTAATACAATAAGCAAGACTATGGATTGGATCATGTATTTGCATAGTCAGAACCACCTCATCTACATATATATTTTCAGGTTTTTTTTATAAAGCATGAGATACTATAACATAAAAAAGGACAAAAATAGAAGATTGGAATACCAAAAAAAAAAAAAAAAAACCCTCATAGTAACAGTATGTTAAGAGAATTGTTTTGCCTTAGATGCTGAAGTCTTTCTTTTTCAGGTTTGTGTTTTGATGCAGAGAAGGACCATGTAATATATTGTAGTCATCCCCTGCACAACTTGTTTCCAGAACACTAGGTTACAAGTTTCTGCTATTTAAGAAGAGAATCAGTTATCCTACTTTGTTAAAAACAATATGGGTAAAAACATACAAGAGATAGATCATGTCATAAAACAAATGGTTTCTGAGCCTGAGTGATTGAAGGCTATACTCCAAGTCATGATTTTTTAGTGATGATAGATATATTCCAGAAAAGGAATCCCAAAGCACCTTACTTTCTCCTCCAGGGACCCAAAATATGAAGAAAAAATGGCCTGTTTTGTGTTGACCACACAGATCAGAGAACAGATTCTAATGCAAGTTTCTGATCTGAAACTTACTGGTCATGTGGTTTCAGATAAGCTCATTAACCTCTCTGGGCTATAGTTTCATCATCTTTAAAATAAGATGGTTAGACAAGACTAACCTCTAATTCCTTCCAGATGTGGATTTTCAGAATTTGTTTGTTTGTTTGGCTATGGCTCTTCAGAATGAGTCAGTTAGTCTTTGTTGGACAAACAACTAGGCTTACTGATTTCCTACTTCCTTTCATATTCTCATTGACTGTCAGTTTCAAATTCTTACTTTGTAGTCGTTTGCATATAGCATCAGTTTAAAGAGTCATAAAACTAGTTAGCTGAGTTACTTGTTACTAAGTACACTGAATGTTTGTATATTGTTTGTTTAACAAGTTGCTTCAGTATCATGTATGTTGCCTAAAATAGTAATCCCTGAGCGTCTGAGAGGTTTCACACATCTTCCTAAATATATAACTAGTTGGAATTCACTTCTAGAGGAGCATCATCACTTGGAAGAATATGAATTTTAAAATATAATATGTTAGAGAAAGGGTTTTGAACCTCCAAAATCTCACAGAGAGCTATATGGCTTATAGGGAAGCCAGTAATATCTGTCCCAATATAGAGATTATTACAGTTACTTACAACATACTTGGTTGATTGGAACCTCTAGTACCCTAAAGAGGATATATAAGATGACTTTATAGAGTCATTTTAAAAGCTGGAAAATTACTGAGTTACATATAATAAATTAGAATTGATACATAAATGAAAGCTATGCGCAAAGACTTTTTAGCTTGGCTCAGTATTTACTTAATGAGCAAGGTTTCATGGGCATTCTGATGCTTGGATTTCAAGAGCTGTAGTAGCAACAGTAAAAACAATAATGTTAAATCCGTAATTGTTGTCAATTGACAAATTTTAGAGAGCACCTTTCTTTAGAGAAAGACAGCATACAGGAGATTCATGAATACAGGGAATGAGTAAAAATGTTGTCTAGTATTGTATTAAAATCATACATACTAGTATTCATTTTGTAAACACTCTAGTGGAGCCTGTTGCATCCTCCCTTCTGGCATGGCCATCATGAGGGAGCACAAGCAATCTTCCTGTGTTGTTGTTTGGTCATCTATGAAGAGAGTATTGTTTTCATTCTCCCTGAAGGACATTTTAGGTGCTGATAAGTGAGGACCCATCCAGGGTTTTCTTCTTTGTATAATCTGTCCATTGCAATTGTCTCAATTGCATCCATAATTATACATTAAGTGAATATTCAATTCTTTTAATTCAACAGACAGGTGGGAGGAGAATATCATACTGTCACTCTCTCCCAAATTCTTCTGAGAGACTTTCTACAATCAGTCTGTCTAAACATCAACTTTCCATCACTTTCTATCTCTTTGTCCAGATTTATTCTCTTTATAGCACTTGTTACTACCTGGGATTCTATGCATATCTTACTTGCTTATGTTCTGATAGATCATATATTGCTTATGTTCTGATAGACTGCAAGCTCCATGTGGGCAGGGGCTTTGTTGTATTGTTTTCCACTTTAATCTCCAGTGTTTTGAAACTTCCTCACACAGATTTCTACATAGATTAGTGCAAGAGATGGTCTAAGTGGTCCTTCATTTTTTTTCATTTCTCTATTCCTTCAATGTTTTCAAAACACTTACCATGTGTCAAGTACCCATGAGACAGACAATGGTTATGAAAATGAGCAGTGCACAGGCTGCCCTCAATGGACTCTTGGATTAGAAGGAGATACACTTATGAAGCAATATATGCAAAGACAAGAGCATCATAAAGAGGTATTTACAACAGGAGGGAGTACAAATGCTGAGCATCTCTTGAACAATTCCCCTATTAGACAAAAAAAAATCTATGCATGTACTGTTGTGATCACTATGTCTGCCAATACACTGTAATATCAGTTAGTTGGAAATTTAAATTTTAGGCTAATATATGAAGTTACTTTTTATTTTCTATTACAAATGTTCACAGCCATGGAAACAGACATAAGTTTTTATGCTTCATGAAATTCTAGGGACATCACAGACAATATATTATATGGTCTCCTTGAGAGAAAAGAGGCAGCAGATTGAGGCACAAAAAGAATGAGTGTTTTCCCATGGTTATAGGTGTGAGGCCAGGCATATTCCCTGTTCTATTTATTCTCTTCAAAATATTATTCAATTTTTCATACTGATTTTCTCTCCCATAAAGTAATCCTGAGACAATGAGACTAAAGTTCCCATTAGAGGCACTTTTCCACAGGGCCAGTGCTGTAAGAGACAAGATATAGGCACACAGATGATTTACACGACTTATCCAACACCAAGTCAAAAGGTCAATTCACTTAAAAGACTCAGTCAGACTCATAGTGGGTGCAGGAAGGCATAAAAGCCTGCTAACAGATTTTTCACTCTTAAATCAGACATTCAGAAATTATATAAGCATGGCCTTAAAACTTGAAATATGTTTCTACCAATGGGTTGTTTCAGAGGTATTTTACTTTTCTGGAACAGTGGTAGAGACTGTGGCTTTATATTGAGTTTTTAAAATATCCTCTCAATCAGTGGATCTGTGGTCATTTTTTCAATTTTTAAAATAGGAGTAATGATATGCAATTATCTTACTCATTATCAATTACTTTAATACTTCGAGATGAATATCTTTCGAAAGGTACATAAAATCCAGAGTCAAATTGAGAAGAGAACAAGAACATATATTTTCTTAATCTCTTCTTTATCTACATACAGCCACTAGGTGCTTATGAATCTACAACTGATAAGGTTTGAGTCTTACCTTTGAAGTTCTCCTCTTCCTCTTCTTGTTGTTTACTCTTTGGCCTTTCTTTTTAATGGCACATTCTTCAATCCTATTTAACAATAACAATAACAACAAATCTGTAGAATGCAATCCAGATCAAAATATAAATTTCATAAGCTATTCATATAACTTATAAAGAATCTTCTTAATGTTGATAAAAACATTGACAAAGAACAACTTGTTAAAAAATAGAGACAGCTTTTCTTAAAAAAAAGTCTAACTTGTATTTTAAAACTTGTTAATGGGCTTTCATGATAATTTATACAGTAAGTTAAAAGAGCTTTGTAAATTATAACAAACTGTACAAATGCTGTTCTTATTTTGATATAACTATATTCCATGGAGATAATAATACTGACTAGACTGGTTCATGCATATTTTACAAATTCAGCATAAAAAGTTTACTGGCTTCCTAGATACTCCAGAACTGATATATTCTGGTGCTTGTTCCATTATATTGTAAAAAACATGTATTATAATCACTATATTTTCTGATATGTTTACATATATTTTACACTTAGCAAGGCTTTTTGGATGATTTATGTATTAGGTTGGGTTTTACTCCTATATCCATTTTCTTTCTATCATGATCATTTTACTTTCCATCTGCCTAAGAAAAGCAGGTGCCCATGCAAAATTTAATTAAAAAGCCATTGCCAGCTATAAGGATATTGGTTTCCTACAATACACTGGTCATGTGAAATAATGACTAGGGCCATATTTTTCAAGAGGTCATTAAGAATGCTTTCTTTGGGTTCTCCTGCAAACAATTGAGGGTCTGAACAGACCCTCAATTGTTTGCAGGAAACCCAGACTTGAGATGAGTAAATCTAGCTGAGATCCAACAAACTGTTTTCAGCATTTCCAGGATCAGTCTATATGGACCAAAGCCAAACCTGCCTCATGACCCATTTCCTTATCCCCAAGTTTTGCGAATGGTTTATGAACAGATTTAAGGAAAGAAGCAAATTATGTGAGGATCCCTGGGTCTGGATCAGCAAAAGGAAACAAGCCAACCATAGGTCCACTACATTCTCCTATCTCATCCCCTCCATCTCTATCTCTAACTCTCTTCCTCCCTGTCTCTCAGAATTAAATTTCCCTTCTTATCTGTCGCCTTCCCCATTTTATCTGAAGAAATTGATTCTACTCATGCCTTTTATCAAAGGCTGACCTGATCTGAAGCCCAAGGATCTCTCCAACGTCCTGAAAACATTTCTGTTATGGAACCAGGAACCAATTAAGCAAACACTAGCTGTTAAATTTCAGCTCTGTTTTCTTTGAGGTCACCAGAATCAGTATGGCCCCCCCACCCTAACGTCCCTTTCTAACAACACAAAGAAGTAGGTCCTGAGGTCGTATCGAAACACTCAAATATCTTTAGACATGGCAAAGGAGTGGGGAGGGCCAGTGGGAACTCAGTTCAGCCTGGTATCAAATCAGCTTTGCAAACTCCAAATACATGTATTTTACTCTCACCTAATATACAACTTTTTTTTTTTACCTTAAAGGAAGGAAACTCTCAAGTTTTTAGCTGTACACCCCCCAAATTCTTACATAACACAAACAACTGAGACATGGAGTTAGTTACCCCTAATTTGTATGTTTTCACGAATTTCAATATGCACGGATTTTGTAAAGATTTGTGCACATTATAATAAACGTGAATGAGTTGTGTCTGGTGTGTGTAAGAGACAGAGAGAAGAGAGAAGGAGAGAGAGAGATAGATTGATTTGTGCATGAGGAGGAAGGAAAGGAAGAAAAAACAGAAAGGGAGGAGAGGGAGAACTGGAGAATGACATCTGGAGCATAGAGAGCCACCACCCCTGGATTCCAAATGGCTTTACCTGCCCCCTCCGATCCCCTGACCCGTGGAGCAAGTGCAGCCAGCCTAGCCGCAGATCTCTCGCTGGGGTCCCATCGCCGCCGCCCGCCGCCGCCGCCGCCGCCGCCGCCGCCGCTCCGCCTCGTGGAGCTCAGCCTGCCGTGATTGACAGCCGGGCTCCCGCGTGCTCGCGCTTCCGCGGCCCGCGCAGCCGCCGCCAAAGGGGCCGCGTTCCCGCCTGCCAACGAGCGGCGAGTGGGCGGGGTCGAAAGGCCTGGCGCGCGGGCACCCTTCCTGCCAATACCCGGTGTCTGGCATGTCCTCACGGAAAGATGGAAAGCCCTAGGGAAGGCTGGTCCCTGGGCCCTGCTAAAGCTCCTTGGGGAGGGCGCCTTCATTGCCTTCCGTGCTTTCTCCTGCCCAGACCATAGTAGGCCCCATATAAAGTCACGTGTTGCTTAATGACAGGGATATGATGCTCTGAGGAGCACCCGTTAGGCGATTTTTGTCCCTTTGTGAACACAGATTGTCCTCATACAAGCCTAGGTGGTAGAACCTACTACACACCTAGACTATCTAGCCGGTTACTCCTAGGCTGCAAACCTGTACAGCATGTGGCTGTATTAGGTGCTGTAGGCAACTGCAACACAATGGTAAGTATTTGTACACCTAAACATAGAAAAAGGTATAGTAAAAATATGGTATTATAATGTTATGGGATCACCACTGTACATGCAGTCCTTCGTTGACCAACACATCATTATAGGGTACATGACTGTACATATTTTTTTAAGCGAACGAAGAGGCAGATGGTCTTGTGTGTGGCTTCCACTGCTACCCCAATTGAGATATATGTTTTTGTCCTTGAGGCAGGAGGTGAGGAGCTTCTCTATATTAGCAGAGCCACTGTCCAACAGGGAGAACCTTCTCACTTCTTTCGGCATTGGGTAGTTTCTATTCCTCACTTCGCCCTCACTCCAACATCAGAAAGTCTAACGGGGAGATGAAAGAAAGCTGAAGAAAATGCATTAAATGTTGCTATTCAATCAGCAAAACAAAACAACAACAAAAACACAAATATGAAGGCCAGGCACAGGGGCTCATGCCTGTAACCCTAGGACTTTGGGAGGTAGAGGTGAGAGGATTGCCTGAGCCCAAGGATTCAAGACTAGCATGGGCAACCTTGGTGAGACCTCCTCTCTACAATTAATAAAAATAAATTAGCTGTGTGTGTGCCTGTCGTTCCAGCTGCTTGGAAGTCTCGATTTCCTGAGCCCAGCAGGTCAAGGCTGTCGTAGCTGTAATGCGCCACTGCACTCCGGCCTAGGTGAAGTGAGACTCCAACTCAAGAAAAAAAAAAGGCATAAAGGCAAGAACACAGCAGAAAATTCCCTGTGAATGCCTTAGAAATTTTGCATAGGTATGGGCAAGCTAGTATATAAATACAATAACCCCTGCTTCAGGAGACTTTCTGCAGACCACTAGTAAGTGGCATTTAATGAGAATGATTACTAACATAGTTAATACTTGCATGGCCACACTATACAAAAAAAGAATACTTAACATTTACATAGTGCTTACTATGCCAGGGATTGCTTTATGTACACCACATATATTAATTATATGCATAATAAATCATTTAATCCTTGCAGCAACCCTACGTGGTGGGCACTCTCTATGATCCTAATTTTACAGATGAAGAGGCTGAGGTACAGAGAAGTGACTTATGCTCATGGTGATACAGATTCAAAATTACTTGCCACAGGTCACATAACTACTAAATGGGGGAGGTGGACTGCAATCTACAAGGTGATCCTGGAAAGGATTTAGAGTATAAATAATATTTTCACATAGGTTTCATGAACAAGCTTTAAGAAATACCTCTGTTTTTGTTAAACAGTAGACAGATCAAAGCAAATATTAGAAAATTGCCTAGAAAGGTACCAAGGGCAGGGATGGCTTTGTCTTCTTTGCTCTTCAGGCCCACACCTCTGCCCCAGGACTCTTCAACACCACTTAAACCTGTTGGTGTCACTTATTTCTTTCTCCCTTTCCAGATTGCATAAAAAGTGTATTTTTTGTGAGTTTTAACATGTTGCTTTTTAGCTGGCTTTTCTCACATTCAGTGTGGATCCAGTGAACATTTATTTAATCTTAGATCATAACATGGCCAGTCATGTTTTCCCTTTCTTTGAAAGCCCATAAGAACTGGCACATATACAAAAATCCAGGGGCTCTGCATTGTTCTGCTATTAGAGATCAGGCTTCTGGAAGGGCATAGCTGACTTCCTAATGTCTGCCTTGTTGATATCTGGTAAGTGTCCTGGTCTCTCTTGGTAACACATAATTCATTCATAGAGGTAGTTTTATGAGGACTTAAGACTTGAACATTAGTGGACTGGACACGGGGGCTCACACTCAGTACTTTGGAAGGCCAAGGTGGGAGGATTGCTTGAGCTCAGGAGTAATAGACTAGTCTGGGAAATATAGTGAGATTCCATCTCTACAAAAATTAAAAAAATTAGTTGGATATGGTGGTGCACACCTGAGTCCCAGCTACTCAGGAGACAGAGGCAGAAGGACTGTCTGATTCCAGGGGGTCAAGGCTGCAGTGAGCTGTGATCATGCCACTGTACTCCAGCCTGGATGACAGAGTGAGATCCCTTACTAAAAAAGAAAGAAAGAAAGAAAGAAAGAAAGAAAGAAAGAAAGAAAGAAAGAAAGAAAGAAAGAAAGAAAGAAAGAAAGAAAGAAGGAAGGAAGGAAGGAAGGAAGGAAGGAAGGAAGGAAGGAAGGAAAGAAAGAAAGAAAGAAAGAAAGAAAAGAATTAGACAGCAGTGTGTTTTAATTCTGGCCTGGTGCTTAGTAAGTACTCAATAAATTACAGCTATTAATATTATATTATTATTTTACTATTATTTATCTAAAACTTTTTAAATCCTGTATTTTCAGCTTGGAGTCTCACAGGCACTTTTCCTTTGCTTTAGCTCCTCTTTTGTAATTTCCATTTCTAAACTGTGCCATCTCTGGCCCCTTTGCTGAAAAATACCAATTATTGTGGCACAGGAGTAGATAGGTCTATCCAGGAGACTGAGGACAACGCAGGTCTTCCAAATTCTAACAGCACACCTGCTTTTGGTTGTCTGTCAGTTGAAGCAACTTGAATTAGTGAGATAAAGTAAGACATAGTTGACAGACCTCAAGATGACCTTAATATGTGAAGTATCCCCGTTATCTTGTTTTTCACAAACCACAGTTTCTGTTTATTTTGCAAACATCAGGAAACAAAGACAATTACTTTGGAGCAACTAGATTTTGACTTAGAATATACTACACAATTTCCCTTGGTTAATGTATATGTAAACATTTACCAGTGAATAGCTTATTAATTTATTATTCAACACACATTTGTTGAATACTTTACATTTAAGTTACAAAGGGCAAAGTACAAACAGAAGCATTATGGAAAGTCACAGAGAAAGGGGTTAGGAGAGGTTGTAGTTCCCTAGGTGGTTTTCCAGAAGGGATGCTGTGTGATTTGGCTTCAGACTGCCCTTCGTTCCTTCCTTTTTTTTTTTTTTTTTTTTTTTTTTTGGTCAAAGCATCACTCTATCAACCAGACTGGAGTGCAGTGGCACAATCAATGTTCACAGCAGCCTCTATTCCTGGGTTCAGGCGATCCTTCTGCCTCAGCCTTTCAAGTAGCTGGGACTACAGGCATGCACCACCATGTCTGTCAAATTTTTTTGTACAGACAGTTCACCTAGCATTTCACACAATGACTAGAACAAATTAAGTACTTTAGATAAATAATTTAGCATGTGAATGATGTGGATCTAGAGATGGACCTTGATAGGTAGATAAGATTTGAATAGAAGGAGGAGGGAAAAGAGTATTATGATACGTTTGTGGGATAAAAAGTACTAGATTCAGCTCACAAGTCAGTTCCCAGGTTTGTTTCAGGAATCCAGGTTCCGTAAGAGGAGGGTGGAACAGTGGTGAAGAAGGGATTCCATTCAGTTCCTTCACTCAGTTGATGAGAGGCAGAGCCTCTAGCCATGTCGGTGGTGACCTCCATTTCTCCTCAGATGCCTGCAGCTGGTCAGCCTCTGCCTGGCTATGCAGCCTGTCCAAGCTGAGGCCACAGTGTTCTGCACCAGGCAGAACTTGTGATTAGTATGCTTGCTGTGTTCCTGGACAGAACAGATGTCTGTCTGCTTTTTTTCTGCTTAATGATGATGACAGATTCCCAGTGATCAAGATCCAATTTCACATTTTTTCAAACACTGTGACTGAGAAATTCTGTTTGGCCAGTTCTGAGGCCCAGCCTCCCCCTTTGCAGGGAATCTTTGCTCTGCAGATTAGTATGTATGGAAGATGCAGGAGACTGGAGTAGGGACAGCACTTAGACTTGTTAAAGTGGAGCAGCTGACTGGAGGGAGAACTGGGCATGGTCTCCCCCCAAAATATATAGGTTTTTCTGTATTTCCTTCTCCACTATCAATAGGATTTTTTTTCTGGTCTTGTAATTACACTGCTAAAAGAGAATATTTGGCAAATGAAACAGTCTCTCTTTGTAGGTTTCTCTTTGAAAGGTAGAATGTGTTGGCTGCTTCTTTAGTTATTAGGGAAAGAGCTAATCAGATTCTTTCTTGCAACAGAGTTATTTTGAAGATAGTAGAGGGAACAGGTTTGAGCTAGAGAGGTAAGACAAATCCAGAGTCCAAAGAGCTGCCCCAGGATCTCACAGTGGTCCATCTCCATAGTGTGTTTGAGAAGCAAGTTGAGGGCAGACCTTAAAAAAGAAGATAAACTCCATATATTACTTATTTGTATTTGGAGTCTTAAAAATAACTAATTCATGGGACATAGTAATTGTCCAGGGCTGAGGTGGTTGAGAAATTGAAGTTTTGCTTCTAGAATCTCTGTTCTGTTCCATTGGTCTCTATGTCTGTTCTTGTACCAATATCAGGCTGTATTTATTTTTGTAGCCTTATACTAAAGTTTAAAGTCTGGAATTGTGATATCTCTCACTATGTTTCTTTTGCTGAGGATTGTTTTGGCTATTCATGGTCATTTATGTTTTTATATAATTTCTATATTGTCATTTCCAGGATTGAGAAGAAAGCTGTTGGTAATTTAATGGGTATTGCAATGAATCTGTAGATTGCCTTTGGTAGGATGGACATCTTAGTGTTAATTCTTCCAGTTGATGATCA